TACATGTATAGTTTCTTCATCTATAAATTGTGAATAGTAACCTAATTCTCAGAGTGGTGAGGGTTAGAGGAGACGGACGTGTCAAAGTTTATGGACCTGTAGTAAGTGCTCAAAGATGTTAGATCACCGTTTTAAATTAAATCTTCTATAAACCCTGGTACCTAATTGCCCCTTACGTAGTATGGCAGATGTTGCTTATCAACCATATAGGCTCCTGTAATTCTCAATAGAATACTTCATACAACCACTACAGATTACCAGTAAAGGGAACTTGTTGAGGAATATGAATAAATGGAGGTTGCTGAGGCTACTGTTCCCAGCCCCGCCTATAGGGTTTTGTTCAGGCAGAATTGGAATCAGAGCACTTGACTCTGCCTCTTTCTCCATTCTCTCTTTAGGGGCTATGAAATTTGTTTTGGGGAATCTTTTTCCTTTAGTTATTTGAAATAATTGCTTTCAGTTGGTTATCTTTTCTGTTTTTTTTCTTGGCAGTAATGTTTTATTGAATGATTGGTGAAATTGGATAACTTTTTGAAAGTTACATGGCACGTAATTGATGCTGTGGAGTCTAGAGTCGCCCAATTTTATGGTATTATAAAGTCATGGAGTAGCACAATGATAAGATTGTCCACCTCCTTTAGTTATAAATATCTGAAACTTCTGGTAACAAGGGGTGCCCTGGTGATGGAAGAAGGTGGGATTTGGAGCAGACAGGTGATAGGGAATTTTCTGGATGGGCTCAGGTTTGGATTAGGGTGTGTCTGCCCCCACTGTGTACTGGGCGTGACCATCCGTGGAATCTTCCTTGGTTGTTTGTGCCGCCTGGTTCCAGTTGTAATGTCTTCTCTGTCCGGGACCAGCCACTCTCTCTTCCAGGAAGACTTCTCTGATGCTCCTGCAGAGGGTTGGGATTTCACCCTCCTTGGCAGGATCCTTGTAGGTCTCACTCTTAGGGTCAGGGTGTCCCTGTGCCCTGACTCTGTGGGTGCCTGTCTTGCCAGTGGGTTTCAGCCCCAGGCAAGTTCGCTATGGATTCAGTGTGACCAAACAAATGACAGTAGAACATTCTTGGGGTGAACGGGTTTAGTACCCGGCTTGTTCTCCCGGCGGTAGGTCCAGCACTAGTGTCTCTGCCCCCTTCCAGAGCACTGGGCCAAGCTTTCTATGTAGTGCAATGATATTTTATTGCCTATGGATGTGGAAACAGTAGCCTAGCAGCAGCCCAGTTATATCATCAAGTGGTTTAAGCTCAGTGAGGATCCTGACCATAGGAACCCCAACTTCCCCACAGTGCCCCTCTCTCAGCTGGGAGACCAGTTGGTGGCCAGGAGCCTCGCAGGGCACAGGGCTAGTTGGTGAGGGCTGAGTGGAGGGCTGCCCAGGCAAAGGCAATCTTTTCCAAAGTCCTGGGGCAGCCGTTGCTTCTCCCATCTTACTTCCCATGGGGCTTGGAGTAGGCAGAAAAGAAGTTTGGAGCCTGTTATAATGGGAAGATCCTGGACTCTCTAGAGTCAGTTAGACCAGAAGTCCAGGGCCAGCCATACCACTAGCTGTATGATTTGGTTCCTGTAAGATGGAAGTGACAGCAGCTAGCCTCAAAGATTGTGAGCCTGAGAGGAAGTGTATGACAGGAGCCATATAGGTCCCTGACACTTAGCAGGGCCTCAGGACAGAAAGCTCTGTTTTTGTCACTTCCCTGGTGCAGGGTTGACACAGATGAGAAGGTGCCAGGTGTACCCCTGAGAAGCTCTTAGACCTGCAGGAAATTCAGGCTTGTAAACAGATCATTGTGATGCAGTGTGATTGCCTTCCTGGGAGCTTTGCCCAGGGTTCCAGTGCTCTGAGGAAAGCCTCCAGCTGTGGAGGTGATGTGGGAGAAGTGAATGCGTGCTCTTGAAGCGGGGGCAGGGAGGGGGGCTACATGCTCCCTTGCCCCCTTCCCTCCATCCCCCCACAAGCTGTGTGCTGTGGTGGGAGTTGTCCCTGTCTGGTATACCTAGAAAGCCCTTTGACACACTCCACTCTTCCCCAGGTGCCTGGGCCACCACTGCCTTCCCACAGCCCTACAGATGTCTCGTTTCTTGTGGTGTCCCCAGACTTTGAACCTTCCTCTCCTAGAGCAGCAGTGTGATAACTATTTCAGTGTCTGTATTCCTCTCCCTACCCCCCAGTTTGGAGCCCCTGGAACCCTGTTCTTCACTCACCATGCTCCTTTTGGTGACTGGATTGCCCAGACCAAGATCTCTGATGTAGAGGGGCCCAGTGCGTGATGAGTGAGCAATTTTATCTGGTGCTTTACACACTGACTCCAGTTTCATCTCGGTTGGTTGATCAAAATCCTTTTCCCCATTTTGAGTAGGCCTTCATTCGTAGCTCCTCGTATAAATGCATAGGCTGTTATTTTTCTTTGATAGGCATCAGCAGCAATGTAGGGAGTTGAAAGCATTTAAAAATAAGGCTTGGGGGGTGCCTCACCTGCCAGTGGGTTCCAGGGGTGGGGCTTTGTTAAAAAATTTGTGTTGTACCCTCTGTGAATACTGTGGGCCCTTCAGTGTGGCTGTGGGTTTCTGTGGTCACCACAGAGCATAGCCCCACTAGTGCCTAAGGCTTTGCAGGCCACAAAACCTAAGGTAGCCCCATCCAGGGGAGGATAGATGCTGTCTGCCACACACAGCTGTTCCCTCTCCCAGATGGTGCTCACTGGTTCCCTAAATAGCCCTTTGCTTTTGGCCTTTTTCTACCATTTCTGTCTCCCACTCTTTACAGGGGAAGAGGTGGGGACAGACAAGCAGCCCTCTCATCCACCAAACCTAAACTGACCAATTCCACAAGCGACCTTTTCCACTTTTCTGTTCCACTCAGTTCTTATATAAATGCACTGTAAAGTATTTAAATCCAAAAGTAACTTGCCATTTTTCAAAGAAAAATGAAGCATACTGGAGGCAGGTGTCTTTCCATTATTGTAAGGAGATAACAAGATGAGGTCCAGGTGTTCTTTTATTGGTACCAGGCAGACTCATCTCCGGGCGCACTCCTGTTGTCCACACCAGAGCTGGTGGGCAGTTTCCCTCCAGCTGGTTGAGGAATGAGGCTGCTGGAGCAGCCGGTAATTTCACCCCTGTGAAGGAGGCCTCCTGGGAGGCCGGGACAGTGAGGTGGGAAAGGGCTCGTTTATTTTGCAGTGTCTCCTCCTAAACCAGATTGGAGATTCTAAACACTGCTGTTTTCCAGGATTACCTTTGGAGTGAAGATGCAGGTGCCTGAGCATTCATCCGGATTTCAGATTTAGTAGCTCTGGGGCGGGGTCTGAATGGCTGTATTTTTAGGAAGCTCTACAGGACTTTCTAATGCTCAGCCAGGGTTCAACACCACCTGTAAAGCCCTGGGCCCTGAAACAGGAATGGGCCCATTCTCCTCTCCTCTCCCAGTCCAAGGTAGGGAAAGAAAACAAGCAGATGTAATAATAGGCACAAAGGAAGACTGTCCTCGGAGAAGCAGAAAGGGTTTCCCAAAGAGAAGGTGTTGCTGTCAGAGTCCCCAGGCAGGGCGCCTGCTGCAGGTCTAATGTTGGTGGCCAAAGTGGAGAGGCCTCGTGGTAGGGTGGCTGGTAGTGTGAGGCAGAAGCATGCAGACCCCAGGAAGGACATCCAGCATTGTAAGGGGCATTTCCTGAGTGATAAGGGCAATAGGAGCATCTTTTGTTCTAATGAAAGACTCTCAGTGGACCCCTGGATGGCTTCAGGATGGAGGCTGGTCACCAGCAAGACTAGGCATGATTAGCCAGCTCTTGAAACTGGCAGCCTGAACTCCACTCCCAACCCCCAGCCCCCAGGGAGGGGAGAGGGGCTGGAGATGGAGCTGATTGTCAGTGGCCAGGGATTTAATCAGTCCTGCTTTCCCAGTGAGCCCTCCATATAATGGAGTTCGGAGAGCTCCTGGGCCAGTGGACACATCCACATGCCGTGAGGGTGGTGCACCTGGAGGCAGCGTGGAACCACCGCATCCCTTCCGATCTTCTGCTTTATACATCTCTTCTATTTGGCAATTTCTGAGTTGTATCCTTTATAATAAACTGGTAATAGAAGGGAGTAAACTGTTTTCCTGAGTTCTGTGAGCCATTCTAGCAAATTATCAAACTTGAAGGATTCATGGGTTCCTCCTCCATTTATAGCTGGTTGATGAGAAATATGGGAAGCCCAGGATTTGGGGTTGGTGTCTGAAGTTAAGGGCAGCCTTGTGGGACTGAGCCCTTAACCTGTGGGGTCTGCTCTAGGTAGTTGGTGACAGATGACAGAACTGAAGTGTAAGACATCCAGTTGGTGTCTAAAGAGTTGAAGGATTGGTCGATGTGAGGAATAAACTCACACATTTGGTGTCAGATGTATTGTAAGTAGAAACAGTTCAGAGTAGCTATTTTTCTTACCTACCCTGTGCTTATATCTCCATTCTTTTCATCCTCCTGCTCCAAGCCAAGACCCAGGATCCCAGCATAGCAGGGGGTGTCTGCCTGGCAGCTGAGGCTGCTAGAGGCCAGCTGGGCACCTTTGTAAATCACTTAACCCCTCCAGGCCTGTTTCTGCTACTGCACTGTGGACACTAATGCTGCTCCACCGGCCACTGAGACGGCTGATTGAGAGCATGGTTGTTGAAGAGCTTTGGGTATTGATGTTGCTCTTCCATTGTGTGGGATTACAATATTTGGGGGATCTGTTTATTTTGAGTGGCAAGATTTGGAGTTTATTGTCCCAGTGGTGTCTCAAAACACCTGGTCTAGGGAGCAAAACAGTCTTACCTAGCGATAAAAAACCGCCAGGTCTGCCTTCCTAATTTTGTTTACAATGCACAGTTAAAAGCCATAAAACTAGGCGAGAAATCTGTAGGTTTAATTGTTTCCTCTGGTTTTTCTAGGACCTCCTTGGTTCCCAGTATTAACCATGGCTCTACTTGCTTAGGCTTCTGTTGATAGCCAGATACACTTAATACTGTAATTTTTTTTGCAGGCTCAATGCCAGACCTGGAGTTGGAGGTATCCGATCTCGTGTCGGGATCCAGCAGAGCCTTCTCAGCCAGCCTGCTCGCACGGCCACCTTCCAGCAGAGGTTTGATGCCCGGCAGAAGATTGGCCTCTCAGATGCCCGGCTCAAGTTGGGAGTCAAGGATGCTCGAGAAAAGCTTTTGCAGAAAGATGCCCGGTTCCGGATCAAAGGAAAAGTGCAGGATGCCAGAGAGATGCTGAACTCCCGCAAGCAGCAGAGCGCAGCGCCCCAGAAGCCCCGCCAGGTGACTGACGCCCGGGAAAAGATCAGCTTGAAGCGGAATTCACCTGCAGCCGTCATGAGCCCAGCCATCGGGACAGTGACTCCTGCTCTGAAGCTCACTAAAACCATACAGGTAGCCTGTGGCTCTTGTCTTAAACCCCTGGAAAACCATTAACTGTAGATTCAGGCAGGGAGCAGGGGCCAGTAGTGTTTGGGCAAAGAGACAGTTCCCCCAAGGGTTTGGATGGTAACCATATGAGGAAGGCAAGGTATTATGTAGTTTTATGTAGACGAAAGGGGGGATCCAGGGAAATTAAATGACTTTCCCAAATGTGATAGTGGTGAGGGCAGAGAGCGGAAAGGACCGAACATTTGTTGAGCACATGCTGTGTTGTAGGCACTTAATGTTCCTTACTGCAACCCTGGGATTAGTATTCCAGTTCTATAAAAGAAGAATCTTGGTCTGAGAGATGTGAATTACTGTGCCCAAAGTTAATGCAGCCAGTCAATGGGAGGACCAGGGAAGGAGTCCAGTTAGACCTGGCCACCTGGACAGCCACCACCCAAAGGGAACAAAAACAACAACTGTGGTAATAGGAACAGCGACAGCGCACATTTACTGAGCCACACTCATTGAGCCCTGCACAAGCACTGTCACATGGTCTTCCAGGACAGTGTCTTGCTGTCACACTCCTGCTTTGGGAATGGGGCATTCTGTAGGGCTTTTTACCACAAACCAAAACTGAGTGCACCCCCCCATACTTCAGGGTCGCTGACCCCCTACTCATAGAGAATGCATGTGGACCCTGTGGGGTGAATTGTGACCACTGGGTGTTTCTGGTTCCACAGCAGAAGACCACGGCCCCACTGCATTCTCATCCTGCAGGAATGAAGATCAATGTCATCAATAACCACCAAGCCAAACAGGTAGAGGGAGTGTGTGTGTGTGTCTGTGTATGTACAGGTGTGTACATGTACAGACATGTGTGTTTTGATGGGGCCTACTGGGTGGATTGTTAAGGCTTGGCCCGGGGATCCCAGTCTGAGGAACTGGAGGAGGAATTACATTTGGCTTTTTGTGATTAATGAGTTTTAAGAAGAAATTTCTTAACTGGGGAGGGGATACATAAGGGGCTGAGAGGCCCTTGAAAGTCTCTATTTTTTAATTAGTAAAATAGTGTGTGCTTAATACAGAAAATTTGCCAAGAAGAGAAAGAATAAGGAAAAAAAAGAAAGCTCCTGCTCCCCAAAGCCAACCACTGCTGAAATTCAGCCCTGGCTTCTTCCTGCTCTTTTGTTTTGTTTTTAAGTGTCAGTATTATTTAATGTATAGTTGTAGTTGTTGTTATCCAATTTTGTGTCTGTTTTCACTTTCTAACAAGCATTTTTCTGAGTCTTATATTTACTGTAAATATTTTTGATAACTGTATAATCCATTGAGTTGGCATTCCAGTTTATTTAAACCGTTTTCTTGTCATTTTCCTTCTGTGAACCTCTGTGGATAAAGCTCTTCCCAGGGTTTGGGTTTAGTTTTGTAGGCCAGATTGCCTGGGAGAGACTTTCTAAGCCAAAGGTGTAACCGAACATTTTAGGGACTCTGTAGGTACTGCCCACTTGTAGGAAGTTGCAGCACTTCTCTGGGCCTTAGTGGGCAGGGAGCCAGCCTATCAGGATTTGAGCCCCAGCCTCCGGTGGGTTCTCCCAAGCCATTCTCAGCCCTCCTTCCCACTTCCCTCTTGGTCTTGCTCACTTCAGGAGTCATCTCTCTGTTGTCCTTGCCCCAGATGTCTCTTGAGAGCTTACATGCCATATTAGCTTGTATTTCTTTATTTTCAGAATTTATATGACCTAGATGAAGACGATGATATAGCTCCCATTCCTAATAAACAGATGAAATTTACAGCCTCAGGCGGCTTTCTCCACCACGTGGTATGGTATTTTATGTTCTTCCTGTACTCACTGGGTGTGCCTGATAAGAGGGATGGGAGGGGTGGTGCAGAATAGGGCCTTTCCATTCAGAAGTATTTCTTCATTTGGGTCCTAAGATTTTCAAAATTGGAACTAACCCAACCCCTGGTTTTATAAATGCTGATATCACTGTGTCCAGTGACTTGTTTAAGGTCCCACAGCTAGTGAAATACAGAGCTGCAGTTCCCAATTGCTGCGTTTGACATACTTCAGGAGAAATGTGAGATCTTACCGGAAGAAGACGTTCTTCACGTTCCCCTTTCCTTTATGGGTAGCAGCTCTGGCGCCATTCTTGAATCTAGATTCCTTTGGTTGATGTGATAGAATAAACCGAACCTTGCCTGCTGGCTCCACCAGGTGCATGCAGGGAAAACATGATAGACTGGGATGCAGGTCCGATACCATGCAGAGAAAGCAAGCAAGAGTGGGAACATCAGGGGGGTCGGCCCTGCTTAGCTCAGTGGTTATGGTGAAATGATGTATGGGGCAGCCAGTGGATGCCCACCTTTTTTGACCTTCAGAGGCTCAAAGACCCAATTTTGGTCACTGCACTGAATTTGTGGACCAGTTTCTTGGTTACTATTGAAGCTCTTAAAGTTATGTGTGAAGCTAAATGATGCCAGTTTGTTATAAAGAGTCTGAGCCTTTCAGTAATTAGATTGCTCAGGTCTGCTACCAGAAGGGGCTCTCAGCTAACTCCCAGGCCACATGTTTAACCATGGTACTGTCTTGGCTTTCCATACTTGGTAAAATATGAAATCTATTATAGGGAGGACATTTCATCTAGATTTGGCCAAGCTGATCTGTCTAGCCTGTCTTATACCCGGCCTTTCTGGCTGCATTCCTCCTTTCTCTCCAGTCAGTGCCTGGCAGACACTGTCCTAAATTGGAACACCACCTGCCGCTTCTGCCTCGGGCATCTTTTTCCTCAGACGCATTAATAGCAGGGAGGGAGGGAACTTCGTGCTGCTCTGCCTGTGCTGACTGCCAGCGTGTCCCTGACAGACTGGGAGCTGATGAGACCTGCGCTGTGTGTGATGCCTCTGTGTGGCCGGAACAGGGACCAAAAAGCTGGGAGGCTGGGCTTTCTCAAGAGTGGGCTTCAGTGCCCAGTCAGCCTGGAGCTGATGATTATCTATTGTGATAGAGCATGTCTGAGAATGAACTTGACCCTATGCTTTTAGCCTTTGTGATTAGCCCCAAATTACAGGGTTTTTATAAAGTCTAAATGGTATGAGTAAGCCTGTGGCTTCTGGTCAGAGCTGTGTGGAATACTAGTTGCCAAGGGCTTCCAACACCGGAAAGGCTTCTGTGAGCGTGTGTGCAGACTGAGTTTATTTCTCCTTCCCCATGTCAGTGGCACCCAATAGTCTTCTTAGCTCCAGACCTCTGATGGACTTGGGAAGCTGGGAGGCCTCGAATATGGGGGTTGTCAACCCCTTAGGGCGCTCTCAGGTGTCCAGGTCTCTAGCTTCTCAGATTCTGTCTGCCTCTTTGTTTAGGCCGGCCTGAGCAGTTCTAAACTTTCCATGTCCAAGGCCCTCCCTCTCACCAAGGTGGTTCAGAATGATGCATACACAGCGCCTGTCGTCCCCTCCTCTGTTCGAACAAAAGCCTTGACCAGCATGTCGCGGACACTAGTGAACAAGGAGGAGCCCCCTAAAGAGCTGCCACCTGCTGAGGTGAGGGCAAGGAGAAGTAGCCACGCCAGCTCAGTCAGCCTGTGTCCTGGATGTGTCCTTTGGGTTCTCACAGTACCCGTGTGATGTGCCACCCCCATTTTACAAATCAGCAAACCAAGACTCAGTGGCCCCTGTTCTCAAAATGCTTGCAGGGGAATGGGGAAAATAGAGCTTCAGACAGAGCCCCGTGTCTGGTTACAGAGCAGAGGTCTTTGCGAAAGAGAGATGCTGGAACTCTGAAGAAAGAGCATCTAATTTCACTAGGCAGATGGAGACAGCCTTTGAGGAGCAAGTGCTGTCTGAGCTGGGGGGTCTGGAAACATGAGTGGCATTCCGGGCAGAGGCCTAGAGGCTTGAAAGGGCCTGGCGTATTTGGGAAGTGATGAGAGGTTCCATCCCTTAGCATACGGGGGCGGGGGTGGGGGGGCATGGTGGGTGCTGAAGTTAGAGGGATGGTTGTGCCGGGCTCCCCTTGGGGGTTTCCTCTGGGCCTGCCTTGTTGCTTGCCTGGAATGACATCTTCTGTTTGAGCACCCAGCTATTCTCTGACTCTGGTAAATGCTCTTGTCCATGGCAGCCTGTTCTGAGCCCTTTGGAAGGCACCAAGATGACCGTGAATAATCTGCACCCTCGAGTCACAGAGGAGGACATTGTTGTGAGTACTGTGGCCTCCTAGTATTTGAAATCTCCAACCACCTTTGTGTTGAAGGTCCCCAAGATCACTCCCAGGTTCTCTTATTCTCTAAGGGACTCACAGGGCTATGCAGAGAGTCCTGTCAGCGCTGGATTTACTACAGAACACAAAGCAACATTAGCAGGAGGAAAAGACTCCTAGGGTGGAGGCCAGGGCAGTCCAGGTCCAAGCTCCCAGAGTCCTCTCCTAGTGGAGCCACACAGGATGTGTTTTGAGCTGATTCCTTCAGCATTGAGCTGTGATCACATGTGTGAAACCAGGGACCTGGTTAAAGCTCATTAAAGACTCAGCGTCCAGGAGTTTTATCAGGAACTGGTCATGTAGGCACCCTCTGCCTAGAGCAAACCAAAATTCCAGGCTCCTGAAGGAGAGCAGGTGTTCAGCATAAACCACATTGTTTAGTGTGGTGTGTGGTTTCCCTTCCCAAATCCCAAGTTCCCAGACACCAGCCAGGGACCAGCCCTGGATGCATGCCTTTCGAAGGACAGCAGTCAGGCTGGCGATGTTAACCGTTTTCCTCACAGCTTCTAAACCAGGGCTAAGGGCTCAGCCTCAAGGCTGAAAAAAGCTAATAGTTTCACCACGTAAGTTACCCTCTTAACTCTGAGCTGTCTGATGACAAAATGAACACAGCTGGGTTCCAGCCTCTCTCTCCAGCTAAACCCAGAGTTTGATCAGCCCATGCTGGCCCCTCGTTTGCAGGTGGTTTGAACTGTGAAACGCATGAACACTGCCTGTGCTCTGAGAACTGAGCAGGCACGCCAGTGAGCAGTGCACATGAGAGAATTGTAGCCACATTTGTGTAACACTTGGCAAATTCATAAAGAATTAAA